GAGGGAAGTGGGCTCGAGGTATGGAAGTGAGGGAAGTGGGCTCGAGGCATGGAAGTGAGGGAAGTGGGTTTCCTGGCTTGGGTGGGCTGTGAGCTGCCATCCCTCCCAAAATCCCCCTTTATCCCGTGCACAGCTGGGATGAGCTGCTGGTAGCTGCCCCTGGAGGTTCTTAGTGTGTTCCTGAAGCTCCCAACAGTGCTGCCAGGCAATCCCAGGGATGGCAGCAGCCCGGACTATGGATTCCCATGGGCTGGCACTGCCCTGGCACAGAGCCTTTCCAGCTCTCCCCCTCCTTGGAATGAGAGTGTTTCCCTTTTCCCTTCAGAACGACTCGGTCGTCGCCGGCGGTGGCGCGATAGAGATGGAGCTTTCCAAGTACCTCCGGGACTATTCCAGGACCATTCCAGGGAAGCAGCAGCTGCTGATCGGTGCTTACGCCAAAGCCCTCGAGATCATTCCCCGCCAGCTCTGCGACAACGCTGGCTTTGATGCCACCAACATCCTGAACAAGCTCCGAGCCAAGCACGCACAGGTAGGGCCACCTGGGAGCCCAGGGCACAGCCAGGGGTGGGTGGGATCCCTTTCTCCCTGATGTTTTCCTCCTGGAGCTGTCGGATCCGGTGTAACTCAGCTGAGCCTGTGTTAGACTTGTCCTCTTTGATTAAACGCCGTGTTTGTTCCCAGATCAAGTGCGGGCTCGGCACACGTTGCTACAAAAGGAAAGGATCTGTCTTCCCTTTGATCCCAGCTGTTGGGTGACTCCCGGAGCTGGGAGTCCTGATTTTCTCCTTGAAAATGCATCATTTGTCAGGAGGGAGCTGCTGTGTTAAACATTAAAGGAATCAGTGGAAGTTGGCTGAGGAGCTGCAAGCTGCAGGTCCCAGTTGCTGATCTTGTGGAGATCCTAATCCTGGTGTTTGGAAGTTGCCCCTTGGTCACTCCCACCACGTTCCATCCTGCTCCTGATGGTGGGATTAGCAGGAGTGCCCTGAAATGAGGGGGTGCAAAACCTGGGGCTGTGGGCTGGGGAGTGAGGCAGCAGTGGAGTGGGAATCAGTCCTGTGAGGCTTTAGATCTTCATGGAATGGGCTGACCACGGAGGTGGTGGAGTCACCATTCCTGGTGACTACTTCAGGAAAGTCACCATCCCTGCTCAAGGAAAGCCTGGATGGGGATGGTCCAGTTGGCGTGGTGGTGATGAGGCACTCGGTGCCATGGTCTGGTTGACACGGTGTTGTTGGGTCTTAGGTTGGACCCTGATCTCAGAGGTCTTTTCCAACCTGATTCTGTGATCCTAAAATGAAACGAGGCTTCTATTTTATGAGGCAATGCTGGCACTGTTGGGAACAAGTTAAGCCACCAGCACCTGCACTCAGTTACAGAGTCAAAAGGGAGTGTTTCGGCCTTGGAGTGTGTGAATCAAAACGTGGAGTTCACAGGAAGTCCTGGGAATTCCAGTTAACTGAAGGACAACACCGGGTGCTGTTTGCCAAAGGAACCCTAATAAAGGGGGAATGCAGAGAGAGCTCTGTGGAGAATCCCAACAGAGACTGGGCACAGGCACTACCAAAAACAAGGACGCGGTGGTTGGGATTTGTGTTCCCCTCAAACACCCTCCTTCCCCCAGCGAGTTCCCCGAACGTTTCCCCGTCTTCCCTTCCACCCCAAAACTCCCGGCCAGCCGTGTGACTGAGCCGCCGTGTCCCCGCTGTGTCCCCTCAGGGCGGGATGTGGTACGGGGTGGACGTGAACAACGAGGACATCGCGGACAACTTCGAGGCGTGCGTGTGGGAGCCGGCCGTGGTGCGCATCAACGCGCTCACCGCCGCCTCCGAGGCCGCCTGTCTCATCGTGTCCGTGGACGAGACCATCAAGAACCCCCGCTCCACCGTGGACGCCGCCCCGGGGGGCCGTGGCCGCGGCCGGGGCCGCCCCCACAACCACTGAGAACCCCGGTGCTCCCGGCGACGACGCGGCGACTCCGATGGTTAACCCCCGCGTTAATTAACCCCCGCGTTAATTAACGGGCTCTCGTCGGCAGATGGTCGCTTGGAGGGCTCGTGGATGTTGTGTTAATTAGAGTCACGTCTTGGCCCTGGCAGCCACGGCCCCCTGTGGGCTGCCCTGCCCCAAACGTTCCCCGCACAGCACTGATCCCCTCGGGCTCGCCTGGGCATTCCGCTCGGGAATGGCCTTCCCTCTCCCGGCGCGCCGAGGACGGGCTTTGCTCCTATTTATACTGGTTTATTTTTTGTTTTTCTTCCTGCTGGGGAGGGGTTTGGACCCCGGGCTCTCCAACACAATAAAAGGATGAACTTGTCTCGGTGGCAAACTGGGCTGTTCTCTGCTTTGTTCCGCTCGGTGGTGGGTCGTGTTTAGAGGTTAAAAATAAACCTTTCAAAGTTGGTTTTGCCCCCTTGCCAAGCAGGTGCTGTGCTGGGAAGCAGGACAGACTCTGAGCACATCCCAGGAGTGCTTCCAGGGTGGATTCTTTCTCTTGCAGCTCTCTGATGCTGCTCAGTGACATTTTTATTGGCATTTACGTCTTGCCCTTGGCTTCATGGAAGGAGGTTCAGGGAGGTGACAGCTCTGGGTCTGTGGGGAGGGAATGTGTGGGTGCTTCAGGGATGGGTCCAGGTGTTTGGGCTGTCTCTGGAAGGAAAATCCTCTTGAGGGAATACAGGGAGACCTGGAACTGGTGGGTTGGAAGTGTTAAGGGAGGGCAGTGGAAGGAATTCCATAGAACCACAGCATGGTCTGGGTTGGAAGGGACCTTAAAGACCATCTCATTCCATGGGCAGGGACATGTTCCACAGGTTGCTCCAAGCCCTGTCCAGCCTGGTCTGGGACATTCCCAGGGATGGAGCAGCCACAGCTTCTCTGGGAAAGCTGTGCCAGTGTTTTCCTACCCTCCCAGTGCTCCCCCAGTATCCCACTTTGTCCCGGTGCCCTATGGAGCCGGACCAATGGAGAGCATGGACCTGCAGGGAGAGGGAGGTATGAGGATGCTCCCAGTAAGCCCCAGACAGCAACTGGTCTCACTGGTTTGCTGCTGGTCTGGCTTCAGTTTGGCCCCTGGGAGAGTGAAACCCCACCTCAATCTCCAGAGTCTTTATTCAACACTGAATCATAAAATAGCTCTTTACACACTTCTTTTTTTTTTTTTGGGGGGGGGGGGGGGGGGGGGGGGGGAATTGTTTTTTGTTTTTTTGGGGTTTTTTTTGTTAATTCCTTAAATACACATTGTTTACACTCGCCAAAGTTTCAAAGCAACAACATCAAAGTGCGTCTACAGGTGATAGTTCCAACCAAAGTGCTAAAAAACCACGGTCTCCTGGCCGGAGTCGGACCCTGCTTCCCACCAAACCCACCTGGATCCTCCGGTGCACCCTGATCCCACCACTCCCCCTCCTCCAGGACAACATCCTCTGGTGGATTCACACCCAGGACCCGGTTTAGCATCGAGGGACCACGGGGATAAGAGGAAAAAAAAACAAAAATAAAAAGGGGGGGGGCTGTTTGGTTCTCCAGACACTGGCACATCGCTGCGAAGAGACTAAAATAGACCTAAATTTATAGAGAGTTTAAAAAAATAACTTGGGAGGCAACTGGCTACCTTTGGGGAGGGGGGAGGTCGCTGTACAGGGGCCCCTCGGAACCCACTGGCGGAGCAAACGAGGGCTCTTCAGGGAAAGGGATCCCAAATCCCTGTGTTTGGGGATCTCTCTTTCCCTGCACTGATTATCTCCTCTGATTATCTCGAAGCAAAAGCCACCCCACACCATTGCACCCACTTGTCCCCGGCCCCAACCTGCCTCGTTACCCCTCCACGGGGCTCAATCCCGAGGCTGGATCAGAAAAATCCCATAATTTTCCCTGCTTTTTGGGCAGCTTTCCCTCCTCTCCTTTCCTCAGTTCTCCCACCCTCGGCGGGGGGGGGGATTATTTTGCCTCCCACGGGTGAGGAAGGTCCGTCACCACCTTACAAATAACCATCTCCAGTTCCTAAAATCTCCCTGCTCCCTGCTTTGTTTTCCCCCCTTTTAAAGCATTTTCCCACTTCCCAATTCCCAAATGCTTTTGCTCCATCCCAGCCTGCATTTTTCCTTCCCCCAAAACGAGAGGCTGAGCTTCAGCAACGCTTTTCCTGTGGTTTTTTTGTTCTATTTTCCCTAAATTCAGAGTGTTTTGGAGGATCCATGCAAGCTGTGCCCCTGCTGGCAGCTGGCACTGGGACACATGGCATAAAAAAGTGGGATAAAGATTAAAATCCTCCTTGGACAGAGCTAACCCTGGAGTTCCCATTTTCCTCGAGCCCTGACATCCCAAACTGGGGGCACAGGGATAAGGCAGGAGGAGGCAGCTGGTCCCTGGAGCATTCCCACAGCTCCTGGGGGCTTGGATGGATGGATAACAAGCAAAACCCAACCAAGAAAAACATGGATTTGGGATAAATTTGGCCCCTGAGCTGGCTTTGGTGATGTTGTTCCTCTTGAAATCCCTGACCAGCACCCAAATTCAAGCAATAGGGAATGCTGGGAATGTCAGCCACGGGGAAACTTTGGGAAAACTCCTTAGAAAAGGAATAAATCTCCCGAGAACTGGATCTGCAGGATCCAGCTCTGGAACCATCATCCATCCAGCCCCTGCCAGCTCTGGCCATCGCTGTGATCCCAATTCTCACCCCGGATCCATGGATTTTACTGGAGATTGTCATCGCAGAGCCCCTCTGGGGCTTCTCTAGGATCTGGAATGGGGCTGAGCTCCTGGATACACTGCCTGATTTCAAGGCTTTTCCCGGGGAATTTGGTATTTCTGTGTGTTTTCCATCCATTTCCAGAGGAAATGGGGTTGAAACTCCGTGACCCGGGCTGTGAATCCACGAGCATCCCATAGGGATGGGGGTTTGGGGAGGGGGAAAACAGCGGGATGGGGAGGGAAAGCAGCAGGGAAAGGATCAATATGACATTTCAGTGGAAGAAATACAGAGCTGTTAATGAGCTCATTAACAACCTGGGCAATTAGGAGCCACCAGGAGGGCTGGGCCCTCATTACCACCTGTGTCCTTGCCCTCACCCACCTCCATCCCAAGAGGAGGAGGGAGGGATCCGTTCAAGCCCAAGGAAAACGGGGAGAACCCCCCCACTTCCCATCTTCTAATCCTTGAACCTGCTCAAGGCCTTGTGTCATCAGAGGATTTCTGTGGAAACGTGGCTTTTGCCGAGTTGGATTTTTCGGGAATGCCCCGAGGGGAGGCCGATGGTTCGCTCTGGTCTCGGTGACACTTCGAAGCACCAAATTCCAGTGGGAGTGTCCTGCCATGAATTCCAAACCCCAGTGGCTCCAACACCACCACAGACACGGCCACTGACACCACTGGCGGGCACAGAAGGTTTCTTCTCCAAGAATCCTCAAACATCTCCCCCTTTTTTCCATCACCTTTGCCTTCCCAACAGCCCCGAGGAGCTGGGAGAGGGTCACAAAAACCTGGGGCAAACCCGGAGCAGCCGCCTTCAGTCTTCGGACACGACTCTCCACCACGATAGTCTTTAAGCATAGAGTGTATAAACATGCTGAGTATATAATTTTCCTTTAAAATCTCTTTTTTTTTTTTTTCCTTCTTTATAGAAATAAATACTTACTTTGTTTTTTTTGTTGTTGTTGTTGTTTGGGTTTTTTTTTTAAGGGAATTTCCCAAGTCTCTGACAGCTCTACTGGGACACGTTCCTGGGATAAGGGCTGGATGTTCCCCGGGTGGTTGTAGCTTTGCTGGGTGGTTGTTTTTTTTTTTTTTGCTGGTCGGGGCATCCCTTGCTCCTCTTGCCCCTGGAATTTGTGTCCCAGTCTTCCCCAGGTGGAGGTAAAGCCACGGCAGGGAGCTGATCCCGGTGCCAGGAAGCTCATCCATGGGGATATGGCGGGAGTTTCTCGCAGGCATTTTTTGGGGGGCTCCCACATTTTGTGCAGACAGGGAGCAGCCTTCTCCTGGAAAAGCTGCAGTTGGAGGGGGGGAGCAGAGGTGCTTCAAACGGGGTTTATGGCCAAAAATCCCTTACCCTGTTTCAGGAGACGGCGTGGGTGGGATGAAGGGGGGATGAAGGCTCTCCTGAGGTGGGGTTGGAGACCCGGGAGGTGCCTCCAGCCCCCCACTGGCTTCAGCGATTTGGGATTGATGTTGTTGTCTCTCAGGATCCCCACGGACTGTTGTCATGCTGGCAGCCCTGGCTGAGCTCTGCCATGGGCGAGGAATGTGGTCCCAGATGGATCTGCAGCCTCCTCCCTCCCGGAGGGATGTTCCCTGTCAGCCCCTCACCCTGGGAAGCCTGGGAAGGGGAGGTGCCCTGGGAAGGGCTGTGTCTTTGCAGCCACGCTGGCCAACAGGCACCAAAACCTCCAACACTGGTCCAAATCAGAGGAAAAACCCCAAAAATCTGCTTTTCCCAGTCAGATTCTCTCCGCTCAGCCCGATCCAAGGGCACCTGGCTGGGGATTGGGATGACCAGGGGCTGTGGTTAAGGCCGGTGTGTCCCCACTGCTGGCAGTGCTGTGATGGGTGTCCCCAGTTCCGTGGGCACCTCCTGGTACTTTATCCTCAGGGTGGAGCATGGAGATGCCTGGCCCTGCTGGATGCCTTTCCAAAGCTTTTTCCTGTGGAAAAAAAAGGGTATTTTGAGGATGACGACCTCCTTGGAGACACCCGGGAAGGAAAAAGCAGAGTTAAAAAAACCAGCCGTGGCCACGGATAAGGGTCAAGCAGAGGCTGTTGGGTGGTGCTTTCACCAGCAGCTTTGGATTTCGGGATAATTTGCCCAGGGTTTCTCCTTCAGGCTGCTCGGGAAGGCGGTGAGATGGCAAACACGAGCGTCCCATTCCAGTCCTTCTCTCCACGTGGGAAAACTTGCTCCAGGCAGAGCCTGAACGGGCGGTGGATGGTGGGGACCGGAGCGTGACCCGTGTTTCCTGGTGGACGAGGATTTTGGAGATGGTTTATTGCCTTGGCAGGAAGGTTTTGGTGGAGAGGAAGCGAGGCTGGAGACCTCTGGAAGAGCGACCATCTCTCCTGGTGTCCTCTGGCTCCTGCAGCCCCTCGAGATGCAGCTCTGCCCCCCGGGCTTGTGCTGTGGGAGCTGCTGGTCTCTGGGCAGCGTTTGCCCAGGTTTGGGAGCCCCTCTGTCCAACAAATGAAACGGAGACCCCACAGGAACGCTGGGTGTCCTTCCCTCTGGAGGAACAGCCCCTTCCCACCCCACCTCTCCCACTCCACAGAGAGGACAAGGAGCCCATGGGATGGGCTGGGAGATCCTCAGATGGTCAAAAAACCCCAACCCCTCCAAGAAACAGAGCCCGAAGAAAAAGACATTTCCCCAAACACGGATCCTTGGCAACGAGCGGCCGCGGGGGTTTCCGAGCCTTCTTCCCCTCCCGGGAAGGAGCGTCGCCCTGTCTCCTGGGGCAGCCAAAAAAAATTGTCCTGAAGTAGCACCTTCTCGCCCTCGAGCCGGCCCTGGGATGAGCTCCGGCTGCCAGTCACTAAGGCCTGCGAGAGTTTCGGGTTTTCCTTGTGCACGAGCCGGCGGATCCGGGTCCGCGCGCCGGGTCCGGCCGCGGGCGAGCGCCGGGCGGTGGGTTTGGTTTTCACGGGGCCTCCGGGCGCCGCCAGGCAGAGGAGGGAATGTGCTTTGTGCTTCCCTGAAGGTCTAACAGCCTCCTTCCACTTTGATGTGTAAAATCTTGGAGAAGCCGGGTCTTTTCCTCAGGGCCTGGAAGAGGAGCGGGGAGTGGGATTAGAGGGGGGATCCAGCATTCCTGGTGCTCCATGGGGTGAGGGAGGGAGAGGTGGAAATATCTGAAATCCTTGCCATAGGAAGGACACAGGGAAAGGGAGGGAAAGGGGAATCCCTGCCATGGGAAGGACAAAGGGTGAGGGAGAGGTGGGAATATATCAAATCCCTGCCATGGGAAGGACACAGGGAAAGGGAAGAAAAGGGGAATCCCTGCCATGGGAAGGACAAAGAGTGAGGGAGAGGTGGGAATATCTCAAATCCCTGCCATGGGAAAGACACAGGGAAAGGGAGGGAAAGGGGAATCCCTGCCATGGGAAGGACAAAGGGTGAGGGAGAGGTGGGAATATATCAAACCCTTGCCATGGGAAGGACAAAGGGTGAAGGAGAGGTGGGAGCATCTCAAATCCTTGCCATGGGAAGGACAAAGGGTGAAGGAGAGGTGGGAATATCTCAAACCCTTGCCATGGGAAGGATACAGGGAAAGGGAAGAAAAGGGGAATCCCTGCCATGGGAAGGACAAAGAGTGAGGGAGAGGTGGGATCATCTCAAATCCTTGCCATGGGAAAGACAGGGGTAAAGGGAGGGAAAGGGGAATCCCTGCCATGGGAAGGGCAAAGGGTGAGGGAGAGGTGGGAATATCTCAAATCCTTGCCATGGGAAGGACACAGGGAAAGGGAGGGAAAGGGGGGAACATCTCAAATCCCTGCTAAAAGAAGGACATGGGGTGAGGGAGAGAAAGGGAAGAACATCTCAAATCCCTGCCATGGGGACAACACAGGCAAAAGGAGGGAAAGGGGAATCCCTGCCATTGGAAGGACACAGGGCAAGGGAGGAAGAAGAGGGAACATCTGAAATCCCTGCCATGGAAGGACGTGGGGCGAGGGAGAGGAGGAAACATCTGAAATCCTTGCCCTGGGAAGGACACAGGGAAATAGAGGGAGAGGAGAATCCCTGCCACAGGAAGGATATGAGGTGAGGGAGGAAGAAGGGGGAACATCTCAAATCTCTGCCATGGAAAGACACAGGGAAATGGAAGGAGAGTGGGGAACATCTCAAATCCCTGCCATGGAAGGACATGGGGACAGGAAAAGAGAGGGGGGGAACATCTCAAATCCTTGCCATGGGAAGGACGTGGGGAGAGGGAGAGAGAGGGAGGAACATTTCAAATCCCTGCCATGGGAAGGACATGGGGAGAGGGACAAAGAGGGGGGAATTTCTCAAATCCTTGCCGTGGGAAGGACACCAGGCAAGGAAGGGAGAGGAAGGAACAATCCCTGCCATGGGAAGGAAACGGGGTGAGGGAGAGGGGGAAAACACCTCAAATCCTTGCCATGGCTCTGGTGACACTTGTGTTACCTGGGACTGGGACCCTTTACCTGGAGTTTGTTCACCATTTCTTCAAACATCTTCTTGGCTTCAGGGCTGTGGGGCTCCTTGAAATAGTCCACGATTCCCACCTGCACCACGATGGACTTGAGGTTCCGGCACACACCTGAGGGGCAGAGATACCACCTGGATTCTCCATACTTGGGGGGCAAACGACTTCCCCACGGCCAGCACAGACCCCACAACCCACCCTGTGCTCCTCAAGGCCTTGTGCATGTGGGGAAACCTCACCCTGGAGCTGGAGGAGACCTGCTCGTGGTGGCCAAGACCAACACTGGGCTACGAGATGGTCTCTGATTGTCCTGTCCCCAAATCAGCATCCTGCCATTTCCTTGGGAAACCCTTGCTCTTCCATCCAGAGGGGTGAATTCCCAGCAAGTCCCACCACAGTCACATGAGCCATGGCCACCAGGACAGACCTTGCTGATGGCTGTGGACCTCCTGTCCCAGGAAAAGGCTTTGGGCAAGTGGTGTGACCCCAAACTCAAACACACTGGGGTGAACCTCAGGTGTGTCACAGACACTGAGGTCTGGATTGCATTGTGGGGAGCACGGAGGGAGCATCTCCATCCTCTCTATGGTCCAAGGCAAGATCAGCTCTCCTCGGCCCATCCTTGGCAGGGGGATGTTGGATCCCCTCTCAAGGACCTTCCACCCGGAGCTCCCAGCTCCTCCCAGTGCCAACAGGTTCCTGTGGGTGGGGCTGGAAGGAAGGATCTGCTCCACGGACCTGGATATCTGGTGGCCTTATGGTGAATGGGTGATGCCCCCTGGCATTGCTACTCACTGTTGAAGTGCAGCAGGGCTTTGGGGGTGACCGGGGTGGACGTCAGCACCAGCATCTCCAGCCCCTTCAGCCCCTCCCGACACACCTCGGCTGCCACCTCCTGGTTGATCTCGGCCACGTGGTCCAGCTCCAGAACCTGGAGCCTCATGCAGTTCCGGGCTGGAGGGACAGAGCACCCGCTGTCAGCGTCCCACGGGGAAGGGACGAGGGCAGCAGATGGCAAAAGGGGTGGGTGGCAGCAAGGGGTGGTGGGGTGCACCCACGGACCTCGGCCCACGGACGTGGATCTCTGCTGAGATCCCCAAGGGGATCTGCAAGGTGCCCTTCTCCTTGTCCCACCAGTGGAGAAGGAGAGAGTGGTGCTTAGGGAGGTGGTGGAGTCTCCATTTCTTGGAGGCATTCAGGGAAAAGTCGGACGTGGCACTCGGTGCCGTGGGATGGGTGACATGGTGGTGTTGGGTCACGGGTTGGACTCGGTGACCTCAGAGGTCTTTTCCAACCCAATTGATCCCCGGAGAGGTGCCTACCTAAGGATGCCAGTCCCTGGACGCCGCAGCCGGCGCCTCCGACGCCCAGAGCCCGCAGGTGGGGCCAGCACCGCCCGATCATCTGCAGGCAGCGGTTGCTGAAACGTGTGGGCTGCTGGCTGGGGAGAGGAGAGGGAGGAGAAACAGCTGGGCACGGCTGCCAGGAAAGCTCAGCCCTCTCTCCACGAGCGCTCCTGGAAGTGGTGTGGGATTGGGGCATCGCCCACCCCACCAGCGCTGTGGTGGTCACGCTCTAAGGGGGTGTCTCCACACCAGCAATCACCCCGGGCTGTGCTGCTACCAGGACAGGGCAGCCCAGTGCCCCAAACCCTCCATCATACCCGGGAATTTGTGGGTACCCCATCCCTGGAAGTGTCCAAGGCCAGGATGGACAGGGCTTGGAGCAACCTGGGTTAGGGGAAGGTGTCCCTGCCCATGACAGGGGGTTCCCCTCCAACCCACACCATTCCATGATTCCATGACTCTCCCTTCAGAGACCTGAACCAGGCTCTGAATTGTTTCCTGCACAGATCCAACTGGCAGCAGGAGCCTGGAGCTCTGGCTCAGGTGGAGAAGCTGACGTGCCATGTGTTGCTTCCCCCAGGGAAGACACAAGCCACCAGGACCTGACATCCAGCTCCTCCTGCTAAGTGACATCCCCTCTGTGCTCCTCGATCCGGGCTGACGGGGATGTGACATCCCAACAGACCTCCCAGACAAGAAGAAATGCCCTGGGGACATTCCCGTGGCACGGATGTGAGCGACCTGCTGTGCAAGCCACGAGCTCCTGAGCACCCAGACCCTGTGGGGTGGAGATCCACCAGCATCTTCACACCCCCAAAATGCTTTTCCAAAAGTGAGACTTGTCTCCCCAAGCAGTGACACCCTTTCAACAACACCCCGGCCCTTCAGGGCTGCTCTTACGTGAGCACGGAGGAGCTCAGACAAGCGTTTGATGTTCAGTGTCACCAACCAGAGCCATCACGGCTTCCCTTTCATCTCTGGAGTGAGCAGCCTCCATGGAAACATCCCTGGCTCAGCAGGGAGGTGTCTGCACCCAACAGCTCCCAGCCTTCACAGGGAGGGATGGGGCTGAGCTCCTGGTCTCCCAAACTTGCCTCCAGGATTGCTGCTCATCCCATGCAGACCCTCCCAAAGCAAATCTGGCACCCAGTTTCTTTCCAGCCCATCTCACTCAGCCTCCACCTAACACAATTCCATCCCTGGAAGTGTCCAAGGTCAGACTGAACAGGGCTTGGAGCAACCTGGGCTAGTGGAAGGTGGCCCTGCCCGTGGCACCGGATGATCTTTAAGGTCCCTTCCAACCCAAACCATCCCACGATTCCACGATTCTTACCACGGATGCAGAGGTGCGACCTGGAGGGAGATGATATCCCTGCAACCTGCCCCAAGGGCCCAGATGACCTCATGGCCCACGGGGTCCGTGGAGCTCCTGGAACAACACAGAGGACACGTGGTGGCCCCACTGGCAGCGATGCCGCCCCGGGGGCTGAATGTGCAGCCTCTGTGCTGCTCCCTGGACCACCTGGAGGTGCAAACCTGGTCACTGTTCATAACCCACGACCTGCCCACAGACCAGACAGACCCCACACCGCCCGTGTCGGAAGGCTGAAGGCATTCCTGCCTGGAATTGTGCCTATGGATGTGCAACGTCAAGAACAACGGGAGAAGGCGAGGCTGAAGGCGAGGAGGAGGATGAGGCGAGGCTGGAGGGGGGGTGAAGGTTGAAGGGGAGGTTGAACGGGCATCTTCCAGAGGCAAAGGTGACACAAGTGCTTGGCTGAGACTGCCAGGCCAGGTACCCTCGAAGAGCAGATAGAACATCCCTGCAGGTCCCACTGGGATGGTTTCACTTGGGGATGGGGAAGGTGCCAGGAGGTGGGAAGGACGTTCTGGCTGCTGGCAGTGGCTGCTCCTTGGCCTCTGTCCCAGCTCTTGGCCAAATGCCACTGCAGGTGTTTGCTGTGGGCTCCTCCCTGGTGTTTTTGGAGGTATCAAAACCTCATGAGGTGCTGCTGTACTCGTGCAGGGGTTGGTGGAGGTGTGGGTGTACCACGAGTCGGGGTGGAGCCACGTTGGCTCGGAGGAGCTTCTGCTGATGCTCCCAGTGCCAAGGAGAGACATCAGAGAGCACCATCCTGATGCCACCAGCCCAAACAGAGGCCCCTGGCTGTTCCACCACACCAGGATGTCTCCTGGAGGCCAGGGCTGTGCTTCCTAACTCCAAATGACCTACTTCAAAACTGCAGGCAGGCCTAAAAATAAGCGAGGGGTGTTATCTCGAGCGCTTCACGCGTCTCCACTGGAGAAGGTTGCCAAGAGCAGCAGGTTAATTAGAGCATGAGTCAGAGTCACAGGTTAGAGACGTGCCAGGAGCACTTGGACCTGCTCTGCTACCCTTGGAGGAGGCTTTGGGTCAAACCCAGCAGCTCTGAGCTGCCTCATGGGGTGGGATCCCCTGGCCAGAGCCATGTCTGAGCTCACACGATCCAGACCAGAGTGGCTGGATGTGCTTTCCCACCTGAAGGGTTCTCCATCCTGGGCTGGGTGAGAACACACATCAGCTACAGGGGAAATGGATTCCAAGGCTGAAGTGGTTGCCTGTAGGGTGCAGTGAGAGCAAGGATCATCCTCCTGGAGTGTGTAGGGAAGGTAAATCCTGTCTCCACAGTAGGCAGAACCTCTTTGGAAAGTGGCTAAGACCAAGGAGAGGTCAGTGATCTCCTCCAGGATGTGTGACCTCCTCCATGTCCTACACCAGAGCCTTGTGTCCTTGACCTTGGGCAAGACCTCCAAGCTGGATCTTAGCTATCCCATGGCAGAGCTATTCCTCTCTCCCAGGAGAGAGGGACCCTGATCCTCTTCTCCCCATTAGAAGCCTTCACCAGGGGGGTGACAGTCAGGTGGGACCTCACTGAGCACCTCTTCCTCACCCTTCTATAACACAAAGCAGTGTCCCCCTACCAAAACCCTGGTCACTCCTCCAGCTGGGATGAGATGGTAACAGGATGCTGGGAATGGAGCTGGAAGAGAAAACACGCCAGAAGAGGATGAGAGTTGAAAGGACAGCTGGGGGACACTGAGGCTGCTGCTGGGCTGGGGACGTGGAGAGGTGGGTCCTTCACACCTCTGGATGGCATTGGAGTAGGGAATAGGGATCGGCATCAGCAGAGCTGCAGCACATCCCACGGATGTTTCCAGATTTCCCCCAGCCCTGTGGCCAAGCAGGGGGGTGTCGGTGGCCGTCCTTACCGGTAGGTGACAGCCTGCAGGGCCCGGCAGTAGCAGCTGGCCAGCCAGAGCGAGCGGTCCGTCAGCACGTTGGGGCAGTGTGAGATGCGCAGGATGAGCAGGTTGCTGCCCGTGGCCTTCAGCAGGGACTCCAGACCAGCCTCCAGGCAGCCCCTGCCAGGGATGGAGGTAGGGTCAGGCATGGGAGGCCATGCTCATGTTCCCCATGGCCATCCCGTGGCTCTGGGATGCCCGAAACCCACAGCAGGAACCAGTGGAAATGGGATCACAGGATCACAGAATGTGCTGAGCTGGAAGGGACCCCCAAGGACTAGCCAGCCCAATCCTCAGCCCTGCACAGGCCCAGCCCCAAGAGTCCCAGTCTGTGCCCAGAGGATCATCCAAACCCTCCTGACGCTCTGGCAGCCTTGGGGCTGTGCCCACTGCCCTGGGGAGCCTGGGCAGTGCCCAACTACCCTCTGGGCTGAGGGCACTTGGTGTGTTCAGCTGCAGAAGAGGAGACTGAGGGGAGACTCCACTGCAGTTCCAATTGCCTGGGGAGGGTCAGAGGAGGGGCAGGCCCTGAGCTCTGCTCTGGGGGGACCAGGGACAGCACCCAGGGAATGGCCTGGAGTTGTGTCAGGGGAGGGTTCATGGAGCATCCTCATCATCCCCAAGGACCAGCAGCTCTGGCTGTGGGAAGAGGGTGACCAGGCTGCAGGGACTCACCGTGTGCTCCTCATGTAGTCCTCCTTACTCTCCTTCTTCCCTCGCTGGCGTGGCTTGAGGTTTTGGAGGGTGAGGGAGTGCATCTGGGTGCACCACTGGGACAGCATGGCCAGGAACTGGGGGGACAGGGGTGCTCATCACCAAGGTGGGCACCCTCAGCACGTCCCCCACCACCCACCCCCGGCTGTCCTCGGGCAGGTCTGTGCACACACAAGAGGTTGTGCAAGAGTGTGGGCAACAAAATCATGGGTGTGACCACAGGAACACATGGAAACACGTGAGCTCCTGCCCTGGAGCATTCACAGGTGAATGCACAACACACCCAGTGCCAGTGCAAGTGCCCATCTGTGTCCCCCCATGACCACAGAGCCACGACCACCCACACACGGTTGACCACCAACGAGGTGCTGGCACACCTTCACCTCCCTGGAAGGAAGGTCTCACCCTGGGCAATGCCACCCCCATCCCCACCCCCGGTACCTTGGAGGACACCCTGGCGTTCTCCAGCAGCACCCGTGTCCACACGGCCGGGTGCCGGGCCACGAACTTCCAGTCCTTGCACACCTCGGCCGCCCGCAGCAGGGTCCTGGTGTCCAGGTAGGTGAAGATGCAGAAGAGAGCCGCCCTCATCTTGAGGATCTCGGGGCTGATCACCTCGCTGGAGTGCCCTGGGCTGCCCCTCTCCAGCCGGCACACCTTGCCCCCGGCCCCCTCGGGCCTGGCCGGGGGACACCCGGCGTCAGTGGCCACTGGGGGACACAGAGAACAGCAGGTAAGGGAACCTCGACCCCTGTCCCCCAACTCCCAACCTCCTCATCCTCCACCTTCTGCCCTCTGTGAGTTATATCAATCTCTAATTAATGTTTTTGCTGGTTTTGATACGATTGCTTGAAATAACTGCTTTGATACAGTGCACTGCACTGCTTTATGCCATATTATACCCTACTGGTGGGTTTTTAGCTTTTGCACTGCTTAGTAAATAATTCTGGTTAAGATCTTTTGTCTGCTCATTTGTTCTGTTCGTTTGTCATAATAAATAACTCGTTTTGTATAAATATATCCTTTTGCCATCATCAAAACCTGTGGGACAAAGTGGTTTAATCACACCTCTATAATTCCTTAAATTCAAACCGTTGACACAGCCCGAGGCTAAGACAGGATTCAGCCTCACCTGAACCCTTCTCTGAGAAAAAAAATCAGTGATTTTTGGGTCAGAACCACCTTGTGGGGAGTGTCTGTGTGTGTGTGGAGGGGAAAGGGATGGATGCAACCTCACGGAGGTGGGGTGGGGTCGTGTCCCTCATGGCAGCCTCTGGAGCCCACATGGGGCAGCCCTGGAGTAGCTTCCAGTCACAAACAGCCCGGGAAAACTATAACACAACACAGCTCCTGCAGCCTCTGACCCAGCTCAGACTGGGACAGTGGGGACACTGCCCTATAGCACCCCACAGCATATGGGGACAGTGAGGACACTGCCCTAGAACACCCCACAGCTCATATGGGGACAGTGAGGACACTGCCCTATAACACCCCACAGCTCCTGCAGCCCCTCACCCAGCCCAGACTGGCAGGGACAGTGAGGTCACTGCCCCTCACCCTGTCCTTGAAGCCCAGGGTGGCCAGTGGGCCACAGATCCCTCCTGGCCAGAGGGCCCAGAGCAGATCAAACAGGGCCATGTGGCCCTGCCATCTGGATGTGTGACTGGTCTACAAGGTCCCAGTGGCAGCTCCAGGATCTGTCTCTCCCTCTTCCTCCTTCTCTCTTCTTGCTCCCTCTTTCCCTACCCCTTTCCTGATGCTCTGGGTGGCTTTGGGAGCTGGAGGGGTTGGATTTTGACTCAAGTGTTGTGGATCAGTCTGTGCTGGGTTGATGTTGTAGTGGAACATTTTTGTCCAGCTTGTGGGGTGCCCTTTTTGAACTTTGGCCAAGTTCCCTTATTTTCTCCCCTAAATTAACAAAGAAACCCCTTGGGAACAAGCCCGTGGCTTATTCTCTTGATGCTTTCTTGAGGTGTTAAAGAACCCTAAATATACATTTTAAAGTAAAACTGTTGGCTGAACCCATGAGCCGCAGCTCCGGGGCTGGAGCATCCCACCACCCCACCAGGAGAACTTGCGGCCTCACCCGTCAGCCGGCAGCTCCCGGTGGGCCGGGACGCGGCGGATCCGGGCGCGTCCGGCTCCCAGCCCTCGGCCTCCGACTCGGTGGTGCGGGATCCCACGTCGGAGACGTCGCCCTCCTCCCCCTCGGTGCTGTTGCGGTAGGGCCGGCGGTGCCAGTTCTGGATGGCCTGGCGGCGCAGCCCTGAGCCGCGGGATCCGTCCCGCGCCGCGTAGGGATGCCCGTCGGCCGTGTCGTCGGTGGGACACGGCTCCGCGCTGTCGCTGTCGTAGCACCCCGAGCTCTGCGACACGGCCTTGGCCCGGCTCGAGGCCCTGAGGGGGGGGGTTGGACAGGGACGCCCGACCTCAGGTCTCTCTGGGATGGGCATCCCTTTCCCATCAGCCCCGGGGTTCGCAACCTATTTCCCGTGTTGTATTCCCTGTCATATATCCTGCTTTCCCATCGCTGGAATAAACCCACCGATCGGTTCTCGGAATTGCAAAATTCCCTCGATGCGCTCACTGGCATCAATTTTTATTTTTCAAAATTACACCAAGCTTAGCAGCGGTTAATGAACATTTGGAAGACACTGAACGTCACCTCCCCTCGCCTTCTCTCCTAGGATCCTTGCCCCTGGAATAGGTGCTGCGTGGAAATTTCGCGTTGTTACCAACGCGCGCGCAAAGACATCCCTTACATTAAGAGTTTTCAGCACCGAGGTGTTTAAATCCCAATTTAAAGGCACAAAGCAACGTGCAAACGGAAGCCTGTGTCCCGTGAAAGTCCCGGAGAGGCAGCAGGGCTGGGGACTCACCCGGTGCTGGAGGAGGAGCGCTGGTTGGACACGCCGTACGCACCGTGCACGGCCACGCACGGCCCTGGGTGCCGGTCTCTCTGCAGGGAGATGGGACAAGAGGAGCCAACGTGGCAAACCCCAACGTGCAGGTGGTGCACCCCAAAGAGATGACCCCAAAAACCCACCCAGTGCCAGCTGCGTTGTGGGGTGAGGCCCCACACCCAGCGGGATGCGGAAGAGCATCTCCGACATCGCCACGGAAACGCAGACCCACTGAGAAGCATCTTCCCTTTGGGATCTTTGGGATCCCCCCACCCAGAATTATCCACTTCCCCACGGGGATGAGAAGGGGGTCCCTACACCTCCCCATTCAGCCCTTGGCAGCCCCCAGAGGAGCCCCGTGGGTGCGTTCCCAGTGCCGCCTGCTGCCCGTGCCTGTGCCCGCGGAGGTACCGGTCGGCAGATGGCCTTGGCCCCGGGGGTCCCGCAGCGCCCCAGGCTGCCGTTTGGGGTGGTCCCACAGCTGCTGCTGATGATCTGGAGCTGCTTCTCCGCCCGATCCGCCCGGTCCAGCAGCTCCTCGATGAAGTGCTGGAGCCGGACCTTGGCGTTGGCCTCGCGTGCCGCCGTCTCCTTCAGGAACTGGTCGATCTGCAGCACCTCCCTGCACGGAGGGACCGGCGGGTGACACCCCAATCCTGCCCCACCCATCCCTGGGGAGCTGGGCTGGGGGTCAAGGATGCTCGTGCGCATCCAGGTTGTTCCGTCATCAGCCTGGTCTGGGTCTGTGCCAGCCCAAGTGGCTCCTGGGGTGGTTTGGGGCAGAGCAGGGACCAAGGGATGCTCCCACAGTGCAGGGTGGATGTTGCCACCTTGTTTTAGGGAGGAGGTGACATCCCCAGCAGCTCCAGGACTAGAGTCAGGCTCCTGAGCTTGATGGAGCAGAGGGAGGAAGAGGATGATGGTGCAGTGGGATGATGGAGGAGGATGGAGGTGGTATCCTGCTTCTTCTGGGGCAGACTTAGGAAAGACCTTAGGAGCAGCCTGACTTCCCTAAACCCCCTCAGCCCTGTACCCCCTTAAGCCCAGTGGCTGCAGAGCCCTGGCTCCCTCATTAACACAATAATTAGCAGGTTCTCTGAGCCTGCAGATGGGCTGGTTTCACCCCAAAATGTGGCCAGCTCTGGGGGGCAGCAGCTCAGCCACCCCAGCTGGCTCCATCCCACCCACCCCACCCACACATCCACCCACACACACGTGTGTCCAGGCACAAATGTCCACTGGCCTCATCCACTTCCCAAAAACACATGGAATTACAGGCAGACACAACACACCAGTGGGCAGCTGTGGCCACCCCAGCCCTGCAGATGGAGATGCCCTGTGAGCACACACCCAGGGACACACACCCAGAGCTGTCCTGCATGCCCACGAGGGCACCACACACACCAGAGAAACACAGACCCAATGTACACCCCAGCATGGGCACAGACACACAGAGGGTGGGGAAGCCCTGGCACAGGTTGCCCAGAGAAGCTGTGGCTGCCCCTGGATCCCTGGAAGTGTCCAAGGCCAGGTTGGAGCAATCTGGTCTAGTGGAAGGTGTCCCTGTCCATGGCAGGGGGTGGAACTGGATGATCTTTAAGGTCCCTTCAACCCAAACCATTCCATGGGCACACACCCCCCCAGGCACAGGTACAGCTGGTCACACACAACCCTGGCACCAAACACACCTCTGTGGTTGATGGTGCCCTTGGTGTACACACACACACACGGGCACAACCACCTCACACTTTCCCTCAGCAGCAGGAGCCCCAGAAGGGGCACAAACACAGACAAACAAACACAAACACAGCTTGGCACATCTGTCTCGGGCACATCTGACCACACACACCTGAACCTTGGGTGCCTGACTGTGCACACCTGACCACAGAACCCTGACCTTGGACACCTGACCGTGCACACCTGACCACACACCCAGCCATGAACACTCACCTGACCACAGAAATCTGACCACACACCCAACCATCATACCCAGCCCTGGACACCCACCTGACCACAGAACCCTGACTTTGGACCCCTGACCACACACCCAACCATCACACCCAGCCCTGGACACCCATCTGACCACAGAATCCTGACCTTGCACACCTGACCACCACACCCAGCCCTGAACACCCACCTGACCACAGAAACCTGACCACGGAAACCTGACCACACACCCAACCATCACACCCAGCCCTGGTCACCCATCTGACCACACACACCTGACCCTGGACACCTGACCGTGCACACCTGACCATCACACCCAACCCTGAACACCCATCTGACCACAGAATCCTGACCTTGGACACCTGACCATGGACACCTGACCATCATACCCAGCCCTGGATACCCACCTGACCACAGAAACCTGACCAGGGAAACCTGACCACACACCCAACCATCACACCCAGCCCTGGACACCCACCTGACCACAGAACCCTGACTTTGGACACCTGACAACTCACCCAACCCTGCACCCCTGACCACAAAAACCTGGGCGCACCAGCCTACTCAGAAGCCCAAAGAAAAAGGAAGGGACAGCCCTTAGCAACACAATTCCCATTGCTGGCCATTAATTACCATTTAATTACCAATTAATCATCATTTAATCCCCCCTCCTCAACCTGCCAACTGCAGGCTGAGCCTTGGAGCTCCTGTTGATGCCTTGGGAAGGCTCCCAGAGAGGGGCCTCCGGAGATTTGGAAGGCAAATGGGGCACTGGGCAGCAGGTGTAAGGTGATGCTGATGATTATCGCCTGCTCCTCTCTCATTCCCATGGACTGGGTGGAAAAACACCCCTGGCAAAGCAAATGGAGCCCGGGAGTAAAAAGGCTCCCGTGGGGACAACGGCTCCGTGATGTTTGGGAGCTGACAGGGCTGGGAAGTGTCCCCACGATGTTTTTGGCACTGAAAATGGTTTCTGATGACTTCTCCACGTCTAGGGGAAAAGCATCTCTGGCCATCAGCTCTTCCCATGCTCTCCCTGCAACCTGGAAAGGGATTTTGTCCCTATGGGTGGGTGGAGGAGTTTGGGGACTGATGGGGACAGTGGAGGGGCAGGAGGGTTTATCTAAAGAAAGGGAGATTCAGGAAGTTGTTTTGGGGCATAAACCCAGGTTTTTAGGTGGCAACAATGTCCAGGCTCCACCATGGACTGACCAAGACACATTTGACCCATTGGTCATCCTCTGTTTACCATCTGCATGTCTCCAGCAGGAATGGTGTCCCTCATTCCATCACCACATATCCCTAAAATGTCCCTGGACAACACCCAAGAGGCAGCTGATGGCAGCCCCCTAAACCCACCACATGCCCCCAAACCAAGAGGTAGTGTCCTTATCCAGCCCCAACACCATCCCATCCTCACCCCAGACCATCCCCACCACCACCATGTCCTGTGAACCCTCTTCCTGAGCCACAGTCATTATTTTGGAGTCAAAATCATTAACAAACGTGCTGAGGATGGTGAGGATGAAGACAAATCCTTGAGGGATCCTACCAGTGCTCCCAGCCCAGCACAGCCATGACTGCCCCTCACTAACCTGCTACTCACTGACTTTCTGGACCCTGTGGTGGCCTTGGGATTTGACAAGAAACTCCTGATTTAGTTTGCTGGGGCAACAAAATGACCCAATGCTTGGCTGGAGGGAAAACTGGGAGCAGTGTTGGGGTGGGAAAGGGGTGTTGAGTGGGGGATATGGGATGAAAATGAGGATGGCAGGGCCATGGTCCTACCAGCAAATGGAGGTGAAGGTGCTTGGGCTGTCCCACCCTCCTTCTGGGAGAAACCCCCTGATTTTGGCACAGCCAAGGTGGCCCCTCTCATGTTTATGAGACCATGGGACGGGTCAGTGGGATGCTCAGGTTGGATAGGGATGGATAACTTGGCTGTGGAGCCAGAGGGGATGAGCCAGCTCCGGGTTTGGGGGGACATCCTTTGGGACTAGAGATGGGCTGCAGCACCATGGCCCCCACCACATCCCTTGGCAGGACAGCAGGGTGGCCACGTGCATCTAGTGGGAGGTGTCCCTGCCCATGGCAGGGGATTTAAGGTCCCTTCCAACCCAGATCATTCCATGATTCTCTGATCTCCAGCCTGGCCATGTCCTGGCAGCACTGGTGGCTCTGGGACAAGGTCTGGCAAGATGTAATCCAGGCTAGACTCACTTGTGGGGGGGCTGTGGACACTGACCACGTGGGAGAAGATGCAACACCCGATGAGGGATGATGCTGATGGGCACTGCCAAGGGAACTGTGCCTGAGCACTCGGTCTGAGGGCTTGGTGATGGTGTTGGGCTCCTCAACACTCACAGAATCATGGAATGGTTTGGGTTGGAAAGGACCTTAAAGACCAGCTTGTTCTATGGGCAGGGACACCTTCCACTACACCAGGTTGCTCAGAGCTGCACCCAGCCTGGCCTTGAGCACCTCCAGGGATGGGACATCCACAATTTCCCTGGGATTCACCACCAGAGACTGATTTCCCCCCACCCTGCAGCCGGGAAGTGGGGGGATAAAGGACTCACTGTTGCTTGCGGGTGAGCTCCTGCTCCTTCTGCACCAGGTCCTGCTTGAGGGAGGCCAACATCTCCACGCTGACATCCACCTGGCGCGACAGCTCCGACGCCCGGTCCTCCAGCTCCTGCTTCTCCCGGCTCAGCCGCAGGCTCTCCTGCTTGGCCTTCTCCAGCTCCGAGCTCTTGCGGTCCAGCTCCACCTGGAGCCGGCCCACCTGCGAGGCGATCTTCTGCTCCACCTCCTCCGTCAGCTTCTCCAGCCGCTTGTCCACCTCCAGCTTCTCGAAGGCGCGGATCTTCAGCCGCGCCAGCCCCTCCTCGTAGGCCGCGTCCATCGCGGCCGGCGGCGCCGGCGCCGGCGCCACGGCCTTGCCGCGGGCGAAGATCTCCGTCAGCGGGATCTCGATCTCGTGGACGTAGCGGGGCGAGGGCGAGGAGGACGGCGCCGGCTCCAGCTCCTCGGCGGGCACCAGGTCGCAGGAGAAGCGCTGGTCCTTGCCCTGGAAGGAGGTGCTCTCGAAGTAGTCCCGGCGCGCCGCCGGCGCCAGCAGCGCCCCGTCGGCGGCCAGGGGGAAGACGGCGGCATCGCAGATGCTGTTGGTCTTGGAGAGGACGTAGAGGGTCTCATAGGTGTGGTTGTACTCCAGGTGCGCCCGCAGCGAGGACAGGCTGCGGAAGCGCTTGTGCTCCCCGCAGCGCGGGCACCGGTAGGGCAGGTCCAGCGAGGCCATCCCTCAGCGCGGCGCCCCGGCGCTCATGGCGCGGCACGCAGGGACGCGGGCGGCGCGGGGCGCGATCCGGAGCCCCCGGAGCTGGGGTGGCGGCGGCTCCGCTGGGGCATGGCTGGGGAAGGGCTCTGGGGTGGAGGTGTGGGATCCGGGGATTCGCAGGGAAGGGGTGTCAGCATCGGCCGGTGACGGGCGCTGGAAGAGATGGGGGTGGTGGTGATACGGGGTTGGGGGGTCCCCAAAGGTCCCTCCTTGGTCATTCTTCTTGGGGCCCTCTCTGCCTCCAGCCCACCCTCTCATGTTCCTCCCACTCTCCCTTGGGAAGACACACAACTTTCGGGAAGCTTCACAATCCTTGGGAAGCTCCAAAAACCTTGGGAAGACTCAAAACCTTTGGGAAGCTTCACAACCTTTGGGAAGCTTCTCAACCTTTGGGAAGCTTCACAACCTTTGGGAAGCTTCTCAACCTTCAGGAAGACCCTCAACCTTTGGGAGGCTCCAAAAACCTTGGGAAGCTCCAAAAACCTTGGGAAGCTCCAAAAGCCTTGGGAAGTTCCAGAAACCTTGGGAAGACTCAAAACCTTTGAGAAGCTTCTCAACCTTTGGGAAGCTTCTCAACCTTTGGGAAGACCCACAACCTTCGGGAAGACCCACAACCCTTGGGAAGCTCCACAACCTTTGGGAAGCTGCACAATCCTTGGGAAAATCCGCAACCCTTGGGAAATTCCGCAAATCTTTGGAAGACCCACAACCTTTGGGAAGCTCCACAACTTTTGGGAAAATCCATAACCTTTGGGAAGATCCACAACCCTTGGGAAGTTCTGCAAACCTTTGGGAAGATCCACAACCCTTGGGAGGTTCTACAAACCTTGGGAAGCTCCACAAACCTTGATAAGAATCACAACTTTTAGAAAGCTCCACAACACTTTTGAAGACCCACAGTCTCTGGGAAGTACCACAACTCTTGGGAAGCTCCACAAACCTTGGGGAGTCTCACAACCTTTGTGAAGCTCCACGACTTTTGGGAAACTCCACAACTCTTGGGAAGTTCCACAGCCTTTGGACCCAATGATCTCAGAGCTCCTTTCCAACCTAAATGATTCTGTGAACCCTTGGGAGGATCCATAACCCTTGGGAAGGTCCCCCACCCCTCGGAAAGGTGCACAGCCATCGGGAAGGTTTACAAGCATTCCGGAGGAGTGCAGCCACCAGGAAGGTGGACAACCCGTGGGAAATCTCCCTCCATCCACCCTGAGTTTGCCACAGGAGGTGGTAGAGGTGATCCATGAGCTTTCCTGCCCAACCACACAGTGACCCCCTGCAGTATCAGAGGTCTCTGAGCCCCAGGGTCATCCCTGTGTCCGACACTGGGCTGCTGGGATCCACCTTCTCCACCCAATCCTACTGGATCCACCCATGCAACCTCACAACAGGATTTATCTCCAAGCATTCTCAGCAATCCATGGAACCCCCACACTGACTGATGCAGAGGAAGGACATGGTGGCTTCCCATCCCTGGGCAAGTGAGGGTCCCTGTGGGACCTGCTTTACCCCTCACTCCCAAAATCCTCCAAGACACCAGGGGCAGAAATCCCCATCCTTTTGAAATGGGATAAGACAGGAAAAAATCCAGCCTGGGAGGCACAGGCACAAATCAGGGCACAATGTTTTCATTTTTTCATTCATTTTTACCTCAACAGTGAAAACTGCGAAGCTTTCACCCCAAAACTCCGAGGGCACCCCTGGCTGGGAGCATCCCTTGCTCATCCCGTTGCAATATCCCCCAAAGGGCTCTTCCCACCACCTTAAAAACCCCTCTGAGCCCTCCTGCATCCCATAACCACCAGTTGGTGAGCACCGATCTGCCACGGAACCCTCCATCCGTGCTGCTCCCCAGGGCAACATCCCCTGTAGCTCAGCATCCCCCTCGGGGGGGGGCACAACCAGGCCACGAGGTTGGGAAACCATTTTTTAAGGGAAAAAAAAATCGGTAAAGGCGAGAAATCCATTAAGAAAAAACCCCACAGCAAAACCCAAGATGAGCTGGGAGGGTTTCTGGAGCTGTTTGGGGTCGTCAAAAAACACCTCCCTGCACGCTAAACCCCCGGGCGAGCACAAAGCACGTCCGGCAACTCCGGTGGGATGAGAAAGCTCTTTTCCACCGCAGGGATGAAACCACAGCATCGTGGCCCCGGGATCTCAGGCCTGGATCCCTGCCCGCGGCTCCTGGAGTACCCAACCACCCCCATCCCGTATTTTCCAGCCTTTAAACCGAGGCAGGATCCGGCCCAGGTGGATCGGGAGGCGCATATCGCCCGGTCCCTTCTCCCGGGCAGGTCTCGCCGTGACCGCAAAACCTCCCTTTCCCTCCCATCTCCCTGGCAACGAGCGGGATTTAAGGAAATTATTAGTGGAGTCATTACTACGGCGGCCACGCTAATAAAGCCCCCGACGCATCCGGAGAGCCGGGAAACGCTCCCGAGCGCCGGGGGATTGCAGCATCCCCGGGCTCCTCCGGCGCAGCTACCTGCGATTCATCATGGAGCCTTTCTTCGCATTGTTTAACATTTTTCCTGCCCACCCTCCCTCCCCCCACCCCCCCCCAAAAATATATATCTATATTCCAGCAGGCAGCTCCACTGCCTGGTTAAAGAGGGAAGGGGGGGGATGGAGAAAAGGGGTGGCGGCGGAGGATGGTGCCGGGGTGGAGGATGATGCCCGGGCGGTGGGTGCTGCCGATCCACGTCCATCCCCGGCTCTCCGGAGGGATGGGAAGGAGCAGGGTGGGAGCACCCTGGTGGGCGAGAGCGGCCGGGGATGAGGCACGGGGGGCTCAGGGGGAGGTGGGTGTGAAAATCCGGGGCGCGTTTATCCCCCCCCAAAACCCCCGAAGCGGGGAGCGGCGGGTCCCCCCCTCACCCTCCTGCCAGCGGCTTTGTCCCCGCTGCGTCCCCCCGCTGCCGGGGGCCCTGGGTGAGGAGCATCCTGGGGATGAACCGCCACCTCCCAGCGCGGCATCCCCGCTCCAAACCATCCCGTTTCACCCCATTACCTGCTTCTGGCCGCCGACCTCCCGCGCTGGGCTCCTCCGGCGAGGGCAGCATCTCTCCCGCTCGCCCGCCGGCCACCCCCGAGCCGGGGGGCTGCGGGGTTGGGGGTGGGGGGACACGGAGCCCGCACAGCAGCTCCGCTGCACAAAGGAGGCGGCTGCCGAGAGGCTCAGGGATGTGCCGGGGCGGAGGGATGCGGGGCAGGAGGGATGCAGCCACAGGGATGCGGGGCAGGAGCGATGCAGCCCGCGGGAAGCATCCGGCTCCCCGTGGCCAGCACCTCCATGCCAGGCAGGCCCTGGGGAAGGAGGGAGGGAGGGTGGTGGCTGCGGGGGGTTGGGGAAGGGAGGGAGGAGGAGGAGGCGGAGGAGGAGGAAGGAAGGAAGGAAGGAAGCAGATGCTGAAGGCCCCGGCGGGGTGGCGGGAGCGCTGCTGGGCACCCTGGGGATGGTGGGTCCCCCGGGCGCTGGGGGCTCAGGGGGGGCTCTGCATGGCGAGGGAGGGATGCAGGGATGGAGGAAGGAGGAGGGCGAGCGCCGGCAGCCGCCGCCTCCTCCTCCTCCTCCTCCTCCTCCTCCTCCTCCTCCTGCTCTGCAGCCGGAGCCCGGCTCGTCTCGCTGCCGCGTTGCTCCCGCACAGCTCCCTCTGCCTGTGTCCCCACGAACGCCGCGGGCCCGGCTGCCATGGCAGCCCCCTGCTCCCCCTCTACCCACCCTGTTCCCTTTCTGCCCCCCAAGCCCCCCCTCGCCCGCACCGGTGAAGCCCCTGCCCCTGGAAGCTCCCGGCCGGGATCATCCCGAGCATCCTCCCCCGAGGGTGTGTGGCACAGCCTGGGCACCTGCCTTGCTCCTTCCCCATCCCGGGCTGGACCCACAGGTGTCAGGACTGAGTCTTGGTCCCGAGACAGTCCCTGACCATCCTGTTCCCAACCCTGCCTTGATCCTGATTGAATCCCTAAGCATTCTGGCTTGGTCCTGATTGAGTCCCTGAGCACCCTGGCTTTGTCCCTGGCTTGGTCCTGATCCAGCCCCTGAGTACCCTGGTTTGGTCCTTGGTTTAGTCCTGAGCTGGTACCTGAGCAGTCTGGCTTAATCCCTGGCTTGATCCTGCCCTGGTTTGATTTCCAAATTGGTCTTGATCTGGTCCCTGAATGCCCTGTTTTAGTCACTGTCTTGGTCCCCAGATGGTCCCCAGTCACCCTGGTTTGGTCCTGATCCAGTCCCTGAGCATCCTGTCTTGGTCCTTAGCTTGGTTCCCAGCTGGTTCTCAAGACCCCTGGCTTGGTCCCAATCCAGTCACTGAGTTCCCTGGGTTGGTTCCCAGCTTAGTCCTGCTCTGGTCCGTGATTGCCTCAGCTTAATCCTTGTCTTGGTCCTGATTGAGTTCAGGTGCACCCTGGCTTGGTTCCCAGCTGATCCCTAAACACCCCAACTGGGTCCTTGGCTTCATCCTGAGCTGGTCCCTGATCACCCTGCCTTAATCCCTGGCTTGCTCCTGATCCAGTCCTGAAGTATCCTGGCTTGGTCCCCAGCTTGGTCTTGATCCAGTCTCTGAGCACCCCGGCTTGATCCCTGGCTTGTTCCCCAGCTGGTCCCTGAGCACCTTGGCTTAATCCTTGACTTGGTCCTGATCCAGTCCCTGGCTTAATCCTTGACTTGGTCCTGATCCAGTCCCTGATCATCCCAGTTTAATCCCTGACTGGGTCCTCATCCAGCCCCCAAGCACCTCAGCTTGTTCCCCCGTGCCAAAGGCATCCAGCACTGCCGGGTTTTCCTCTCCCTGGACGCGTGGGAAGAACGGCAGCTTGGGCTGACATGGGATCAAGAGTTTGTCCCCATCCCCTGGGATCTGGGGTGTCACTGATCCTCCCCTCTCACCAACACAGCCACATTCCCTCAATCCCATCCCTCCCAGAGGCAGCTGCTGCGGGGGGTGTCCCATCCCTGCCATCCCTGCCATCCCTCCTATCCCTTCCCACCCTGCCCTGGCAGTGCTGGCTGGACGGAGCAGAGGGCCAAGGCTGGAGCTGGTGCCTCTGCAGAGCTTCCAGGCTCGGCATCAATTATGGATGCACTTCCAGAGGGTATTAATAAAGGCCTCATGCATCATTCATGGCCAGTGGCACGGGAAAGCTCGGCTCCTGTGCCCGGAGAGATCCGACATCCCGCCCCAAACCACCCCCTTCCCAAGGGAATCCTGGGGGGTGAGGTCCCCATTAATCCCATCTGGGGTGTCCCCCCAGAAAAAGGGTTTTCCCTGGTGTCTGGGATCACCTGCAGCCCATGGAGTGCTCCTTGCTCAGGGTCAGGCTCCCACACTCCTGGGATGGTTCATCCAAAGGTCAGGAGCACCCTCGGGGTCATAGGGAGTGTGAGATTTTAGGGACGGCTCCCAGGGGACATTTAGGATTTCCCCCTCCACCAGGTTTCCTCCTGGCCCTTTCCCACATCCCACCTCTGCTCTCAGCCCCCACATCCCCTGCCCAGCCTCCCACCCCAACTCCAAAGGTTCCTTGCACCCCATGGTGAGCTCCGATTTTGTTGGGATAACTGGGACAGTGGATTTTGCTGGGAGAACTGGTGTTTAGCCCCGGAATGCTCCAGTCCACATGTTGGCAAAGGGCTGGGGGGACATGAGGGAATAAAACAGGGAGACCCCTCTTTCCTTCATAGCAAAGTCTGGGGGCAGATCCCCCCTCTCCAGGGGACAAAATCCACTGGAGAGAGCAACTTTCCAGCCATCCCTCTTCCCTGCCTCACTTTCCCCCTCTCCAAGGAAAGGATGATTGTCCCTAAAACACCTGAGCATCCATGACAACTGCCCTGTTCCTGCTCCCTCCATTCCCACGGGAATCTTCTCCTGATTAACTGAAACCAAAGCTCAGCGTGCCCCGTCCAAGTATCTCCCAGCAGAAGGACGGGATTTTGGGATTTCATGGTTTTAACTGATTTTTAACCACCAGAGGAGGGAAGTTCTACCGTGGGAGACACATTCCCCGGCTGCACCGTTGTCTCCAGGGCCATCCAGCCACCGGTATTCCCAGGAGAAGGGGACCAGTGTCTCTCCAGCATCTAAAATTCCAAAAGGAGGGAAGAGACCCCCAGTCTCAAAGGGGTCCACGTCCTGCCTGCCTGGGGATGAGCCAGGTGGAAAATGGGGAATGGGCAGGCATCTTATCCAGTTTTTTGTGGGTAAATCCAAGGGCACATGGGGCATCCACATCCCACTGGGGACCAGGAGCCTGGGATGGGGGCTCTGGGCTGGGTTTGGGGTCCCCACAGGAGAGGGGTAGATCCCTCCAGGACTCAGCCCCATTGGAACAAACCTGGAGCCACATCCTTTTTTTTTTTGGAGGGAGACCCATCAGCAAGGACTCTGCTCTGTCCTGGGGCAAGACCCTTCTCCAGCATTAAGCCCCCACCTGGGGATTTGGGAATGCTGAGGATGAGTGTCCCCCACCCCCTCCCCACTGCACCGATGGATTTTTCTCTCCCTGCTCGTTATCAAACCACCTTTTTCTCCCCCAAAACGCAGCAGCAAGAGGTTCCGAAACCCAACGGAAACACGGGATGGAAAAGGCAGGAAGCAACCCCGGCGAGGGCTTGGATTAGCTCAAATCTTTAATTAGAAAAATAGACACAAATTTGGAATATTCCTGATAGAGGATTTTGCTTTTTTACAAACAGGATGATAATAATAATAATAATAATAATAATAATAATAATAATAATAATGACATCACCTTTCCAAAGGGCCTGCCAGGCACTGGTTGCCAGAGCCTGGTGGCTTCTCTCTCCTTGGGGAGAAAGGACCCGGTGCAGCCACGGTTCCGACTGTGCCATCCGGAAATCTCCAGTCGGGAGCATCCTGCAAAGTCCTGGCAGGGCGAATCACGGCTACAAACACCGAGTGTCTGTAGGTTTGGGGATAAAAAAACCCACCTTTCCGTGGATTTCTTTCTGTCCATGTTTTTTTTTCTCCTTTCCCCCTCCTTGGAACAGGAGCCGTGTAAAACACAGGATTTGGAGATTGGCTCCACATCCCACCTCCGGCACCGCGGCGTCGCCTCCGCCTCCCGCGTGCCCTTCTCCTTCCCCCGGGCACGGCCCATCCTTCCCTCCTCTCCGGGAGGGAATTCCCACCCCGGCTCTCCCGTGAGACGCTCGGGGGGAACCTCGGGAAACGCCGTCTCCCGGCGCTGCTCACGCCGGAGGTCTCACAGCGTCCCGAAGGAGAGACCCACGGAGAAGAACCCCAGGCCCTTGAGCTTCTCCTCGGTCCGGGCCTTCTGCTTCAGGTGGACTTTGCTGTGGCGCTTCTTCTCGTCGGAGCGGGCGAAGCGGCGCCCGCAGGTGTCGCAGGAGAAGGGCTTCTCGCCCGTGTGGGTGCGGATGTGGGTGGTCAGGTGGTCGCTGCGGCTGAAATTCCGCAGGCAGATGCGGCACTGGAAGGGCTTGTGGCCCGTGTGGATGCGGAGGTGCCGGTTGAGCTCGTCGGAGCGGGCGAAGCTCCGGACGCAGTTCTCCACGGGGCAGGCGAAGGCCTTCTCGTGGGGCTTGGGGCAGAAGCACTTGGAGGAGCACTTGGCGCGGCGGGTTTTCTTCTTGGGCTCCTGGGCCAGGGCGGGAGGGTTGGCGGGAAGCAGGGAAGGGAGGGAGGAGGAGGAGGCGGCGGCGTGGCCCAAAAAGTCCGTGGTGGGGGGCACGGAGGGCGAGGGGTGAGGGTGGAGGAGCTCGGCCGAGCTCATCAGGCCCGGCAGCACCTCCGGCTGGGCCAAGGCGGTGGCGTCGAATTCCGGCATCAGCGGAGGAGGGATGTTGTGGATCTTGGCGTCGGCGAAGTCCCCGCGGGCCGGGAAGTTTTCTGGCTCGCAGCCAAATCCCAGATGGGCTCCGAAGCAGGCGGCATCCTCTGCCAGGCTGCCCAGCTCCGACTGGCAGCTCACGGACAGGACGCTCTCCATCTTGGAGCCCAGAGGGTGGAACAGCCCCTGGCTGCTCTCTCCAGCCGGGAACGCTTCGGGAGAAGGGTATCCGGTGGGCAAGTAGGTCTGGTGCTGGGTGAGGGGCTCCCACTGGGCACAGGGGGCTTTGAACTTGTCCAGGGGTGGAGAACCAGAGGACAGCTTGATATCCTGCTTGTTGTCCAGGAGCTTGGGCTGGAAGAAGCACTGGGAGGTGTTTCCCAAGGCGGGCTGTGCCTGCAGGGGCTGAGCCCCCTCGGCCGTGGGGAATCCGCCGTATCCCTGCTCCGGGAAGGGGGCTTGGGTGGATCCGCTCATTTCGGGCTGGCAGGTGGGGTAAAGGTCCAGCTGGCCCTGAGCCACCTCGGGACAGGGGTAAAGAGCGTCCAGGTGCCTCGGGTGGCTCTCGGAAGAGGAGGAGAAAGGGGAGATGCCCAGGATGCCCGACATGAGGTTGAACAGGGATTCCTGGTCCTGGGGATGCTCCGGTACCGCCTTGATGAAGAAGCTGCCGGTGTAGCTGAGGGAAGGGGAGGGTTGGCTGCCCAGCAGGGAATAATCCACGGCCCCGCCGCTCGCCGGGACGCCCACCAGCTCACCTGGGGAACAGAGGAGACGCTGGTTAGAGGGATGGAGGGATGGAGGGATGGAGGGATGGAGGGCTGCGGGGCTGGGGGGGGCGGGATACGGGCGAACAGCGGGAGGCTGGTGTTGCGTCACTGCGAGGTCTCCGTCCCTGGAACCGCACGGGGAGCTCTGGGATTCACCTCCCTTCTCCAGTAGGACCCCCGCCCTGAGCTGGCAGGGGACTGTCGAACCCACAGCCCGGTGCTGGGGGTAGGGGAGGGGAAGATTCCCGATTCCTGGCTGCAGCGATCACTCCCAGCGGGGTCCCTCATCCCTTCCCGGCTCCCTCCCCCCATCCTTACCTCCGAGGAAATCGGCCTCTGCCAGAAGTTGCTGCTCAGGCTGCCCCAAGCCCTGCAGGTCTCCGGTTTTCATCTCGCAGCTCTCCTCGTACTTGGAGTAAAGCGGATCCGGGCAGGAGAAATCCATAACGTTGAGCATCTTCCCTGGAGAAACGGCCCGAGCAGGGGGGGGGCGGGCTGGGACGAGCCGGGAATGCTCGGGGAGAGCCGGGAGATGCTCGAGATGAGCCGGGAGATGCTCGGGATGAGCCTGGAGATGCTCGGGATGAGCCTGGAGATGCTCGAGATGAGCCAGGAGATGCTCAGGGGCGAGACGGGAGATGCTCGGGGCGAGCCTGGGATGCTCGGGATGAGCCGGGAATGCTCGGAGTGCCCGGAGCGATCCGAGGGATGCTCAGCGGGGAGCCGGGGGATGCTCGGGCTGTCGGGACCGACCCGAGGGATGCTCGGGGTGGATGCCAAGGACCCTCCGGGTGATGCTCCGGGTCGCTTGGGGCAATCCGGGGGGTGCTGCGGGGTGCTTGGGGCAATCCAGGGAATGCTGGGGCTGGGTGCCGGGATGCTGCGGGGGGTGCTGAGCCCCGGGGGG